CTGCTATTGTATCGCCCACAGCTTACTCTAGGAAAGGGAACCTCGGGAGTTTTCTTCCTCCATTTCAGCCTGTCCAATCTACCAACATAGCTCCCAGTCACCACCAGCTCATTCCAAAGCAAGGGGAAGGGAAAAGGGAGAAGAAAGCAGACAGCTGTCCGACCTGCTTTCCAGCTGGGGCAGCACCCTTCTGGGAGGGTTTCCATCAGAGCCGGCTATTGGCTCTTCCGTCTTCCATAATTGAAAGGTAGCTTTCTATGTTTTCAAAAGTTGGCTCATGCAATGGCTGAGAGAAGAATCTGTAAGGGAACAGCATCCTCTGCAGGAAGACACAACTTTCATCTAGGTCTTTGACTCTAATACAAGGTATCCCTTACTTGTCCGCTTGTCATCGCAAGGATCTCACAAGAAGAGAAATCCAGGGAGTATATGCCTTCCAAACAGTACTGGAGTCTTGTCCCCTCCACACTATCCCAGGCTAAGGTCATAAAATTAGTCCATATATCTATTTTTTAATCTATTTTTTTGTCCCTCCTTGATTCCACAAAACTACTGTCATGGGCTCGGGAGTGGGGTGGGAACATGAATTCAAGAGGACATAGAAAACAGAAGGGACAGTTGCAAAATATGTTAGAAGCTGGAAAGCAGGAACAGATATAATTGACTTAGAAAGTCCAAGAGAGCTAAGAGTCAAGGAAAAAGTAAGAACAACCTCATTTTCATGGAAAAGAGCATGAGATAGGGAGGGGAAATACAAATTGAGTCTTAGACACCTTTGGAACTGAGCAAGCCAAAATCAGTAGAACTGAGTGAAAGGTGACTGAGAAACAGTTAAGTCTTACTTATGGAAGTGATTTGAAGAGGTGGGTTTCCCCCCTTAGTCTCTGGCATAAGAACACTTGGCCCCAGTTGGTGGCACTATTTGGGAAGCTTAGGAGACTGGCCTTGTTGAAGGAAGTGTGTCACTGGGGTGGGTATTTCGAGTTTAAAGAGTTCTGTCTTCTTCACACTTACAGTCAGGGATGAGAGCTTTCAGCCCCCTGCTCCAGCCCCAAGGCCTGCTGCTTGCTGCTACAATTTCTGGCTATGATGGACTCTTATCCTCTGAAATCATAAAGCAAAATACAATCTTCTTTAAGATCACTGGGTTTTGCTGTTTTTGTTTTTGTGTTTCAAGACAGAATTTTTTTGTCTAGGCCTGGCTGTCCTAGAACTTGATCTGTAGACCAGACTGGCCTTGAACTCACAGAGATCCCCCTGTCTCTGCCTCCCAAGTGCCCAGCTGATCACAGTACAACATGGGTTAGGGATGCCAGAAATATTACAAATTTGTTTTGTGTTTGCTTTTGAATGAATTTTCGGCTGTTGCATATTAAGAAACCTTTTACTGTTGCCAATTTTTATGTGACCTCCACATTCAGTGTGGGTCCCTACCCACATTTTGGGAAGTTGCACCTTATCTGTCTCCCTCCATCACCAACCTCCCCCACCACAGTGGGAAGTTCATCGTAGCTGACAAATCTTTGTTGATATGTCATTGTCATCTGAAACCCATGGCTTACATTAGGGTTCACTCTTGTTGTCATACATTCTACAGGTTTGCACAGATGTGTGACTTGTAGTCACCAACACAGCATCATCCAGGGTATTTCCAGTGCTCTAAAAGTTCTGGGTGGATTTTAAGAGGAAATAAGTTTTCTTCTGTGTTGCTAAGTAAGTGTTGTTTTTCTAGGAGAGGGACCAGCTGCCCCAGTTGCAAAGAGCGAAGCAGTATGGTTGCTGATCTAGAAACAGCTGTAAAATAAGGCTCAAGTGCCAGACAGGGCAGGAAAAAATGAAAAGCCAGACACAGCAGATCTGCACATCAAGAGAATATATTTTTGAAGAGAGGGAAAAGGAGAGAGAGAGAGAGAGAGAGAGAGAGAGAGAGAGAGAGAGAGAGAGAGAGAGAGAAAATAGATCTGCATGAGAAGTGAGCAGCAGCCTAGAGCAAAGGTGAGGAGATCTGGCCTATACCAAAGTGAGAGCTATCATCAGCAAATCTGTATCCTGAAGGCTGTCCTGGGAATTGCTGGGATTAAGAGCCTGGAGAGAGGGGACAGTCCAGACCCCGACTGTGAGGGCTGAGGGAGGAAGTAGTCACAGCAGGCTGGTTCACAATGAGCTTTGTTAGGGGACAGTCTCAAGACCATGGAGGGCCGTTCTCAGCCTTAAGGGAAGAGAGCATCATCTCAGAGACAACAGTGGCTGGACCTTGAAGAGAGAGGGGGACTCTGTCCTAACACTTGGAGAGGAGCCTCGTCAGTAGAGATAGCTTAAATGGATAAATAGAAAACAGGCTGCCACGTACGGCACCACAGGCGTCCCGAAAGGAGAGTTCTGATAACCCCAAACAAGGGAGATTATTTTTACAGTATTCTGACTCATTCTTTGATGATTTCATACATGTATATAATGTATATTGATCGTATCTACCCCTCTCTCTCCCCACTCCCCTTAAACTCTCTAATCCATCTCCTTCCCACCTTCGTGCCCCCCTTCTCTCTCAACTCACTGAGTCTAATTAGTACTGCCGACATGGGCACGGATATGGTACCATCCACTGCAGTATGGCCAACATACTAGCAGACACGTCCTGGAAGAAAATTTATGTCCCTTTCCCCAAGCAGCCATCAACTGCCCATAGCTTCTCAGTTAGGGGTGGGGTCTCGTGAGCTCCCCCTCCATCTGGAATGTTCTCTGGCTAACTCCCACGCAGGCAGCACAGCTGTGGTGATCCACAAGCGCTGTGGCCATGCCATGCTCAGAAGCAAGCTTTTCACAGCATTCCTTCACACCCCTACACAGGCCTCTGCATCCTTTCTGCCCCCTTACATGATAGTCCCTGGACCTTGGTAATAACAGATGTCCTATGTAGGGCTCAGCATCCAAGCGTCACTTATTCTTTACTCTTCGACCACTTATGAATCTCTACATTAACTGCAAACAGAAGGTTCTCTGTCCAGTCTTGGGAATAGCACTCATCTATGAGTACAAAGAGAAATATTTAGAAGGCAGCATGACAGCACGGACGTTTAACAGAACAGAACTTAGATCCCCCTTGGGTCATCTCCCAAGCCATTGGCATTTGACCAAGTTTACAGTCTCAAGTATGAACTCTTCCCCGTGAGGCTGGCTTAGGTCCAATCAGAAAGTATTCGGCTAAACCGCAACAGTCATCACTGCTTCGGTGGGAAGACCTTGATTGACAGCTCAGCATCGGAGCATGTAGGGTCCTGTGCTGGGTAAGACCATTGTTTTCATTTGCCTTCTACTGCAGTGATAAAAGACCAGGACCAAGAGCAACATGGGGAGGAAAGGGTTTATTTGGCTTACATTTCCAGCTAACAGTCCATCACTGAGGGAAGTCAGGACAAGAAGTCAAGGCAGGAATCAGAAGGAAGGAGCCCCTACAGAGGCCGCAGCAGAAGGGTATTCACCGGCTTGCTCCCTAGGGATTGCTTGGCTTGCTACCCAGGACCACCTGCCTAGGGGTGACATCACCCACAGTGGTTTGCATATCAGTCATTAATCAAGAAAAATGTCCTATGGACTTGCCCTCCCTCCCCTCCCCTCCCATATCAATCATTAATCAAAAATATGTCCCGAAGATGTGCTCACAGGCCAGCCTGATACAGTAATTCTTCAGCTGAGGCTCCCTCTCCCCATGACTCTTTTGTGCCACGCCCCTTCTTGTGTTCCCCCTCCTCCTCCCAAAAGAAGGCCTCAGACAATAATCCAGGCACTTGAGTGTCTTCACGCACGTGGCCCTGCTGCTCCTTTGCATTGTGTTCTGAATATTTTTTTTCTTTTTTTCTTTTCTTCCAGTAAAGTTTTCTTGCTACTTTTGCACATCTGTGTGGGCTCTTATTTCAATTCCTTAAATAAGAGACCAGCAACGTGAAAACACTGCACCCTAACTTCGGTTAACAATCTGTTTTCGTTTATCTGCCAAGGTGAAGGAACTAGGTAGGCCTTTCAGCGGGCAGCCGCGAAGGGGGAGGAGCTGCGAGGCTACAGCACAGCAGAACTCCTGAGAGCCAAGGGAGAAGAGGGGAGGGGAGGAGAGAGGGAGGGGAAGGGAGGGTATGGGAGGGGAGATTGCTGGCAGTTGTGGCCTGATTCTGGGAGAACGAGAGGAAGTTGGGTAGAGGGCCTGTAATCTAACATTTACTGATCCTTCTTACTTCCCCTTTCCTAGGAGGTTTATGGTTTGCTAGGCATTTTCCATGATGAATTAAGCCATGAACTATTTATGGTTTATGTGAAGGATCTGTGTGTGTGTGTGTGTGTGTGTGTGTGTAGAGGGGGGAGGATGTCTCAGACGAGGAAATGGGGGCTAAGGTAAGCGGGTAAGAAGCCTTAGCGGTGGTGGCTGAGAACGTCTGCACGCTCCCATTGATATCTAGAACTTGGGCCTTGCTTTTTCAAGAAGGACTCACTGCCCCCAAATCCTGAGTCAGTTTCTTGTCTACAGTGTAAAACAGGAGCTGGGGCCCGAGAGTAATGGGTAGATAAATAAATAATTAAAGGTAATTAAATAAAGGAACGTACTGTTTCTTGAATGTACTTTCTTCCACTGTCTGCAGGCACTGGGTCTGCAGCAGGTGAAACATCTAACTAGGGGGCACCCCACTTTTGAGTACTCTTGGTCCGGCGGCTACGACAGAAGCCAAGTTTCACTCTTTTAACTGTCAAATTGTTTCACAGACACGGAAAATACTAAACAGAGGAGAAGACACGAACCGTAGAGCTCAGCATCATGAATCTATGCTACAGGGCAGCCAACAGCCTAGGCGCTCTACAGGGCGCCGCGCCTGCGCATTGCAGACGATGAAGCCGCGAGCCCTCAGCGAGGAGGTGGGACTTGCCCGGGTATCCGGGTCCCACACCCCGCCTCCGCGGCATGAATGAGAGGCGCGGCGTCCGCCCCTCCCCCGCCGGGCCCGCCCCTCGCCGGGGCAGCAGCAGCGAGCTGTCGCCAGCTCAGCCGCTCGGGCTCTCGGACGCCGCTCATTAGCAGCTCGCTGCCCGAAAGCCGCTGCCGGGCGCCGCAGCCCTCACGTCTGCTGCCCACCGCCCGGGTGAGTGAGGGAGGGCCGGGCCTGAGGGCCGCGCGGCTGAGGCGCAGGCTCCGCAGGTCCGTGTCTGGGATGCTGAGGGCTGCGCGCCGGCCTCGCACCCGCTCCGAGACTGGGGGGCCGCGGGGGCATTCTCCACACACCCGCACAAAGGGCGGCTCGGGCTGTCACCCGGAGGTCACCTCGGGCTGGGCCCGGGCGGGGGAGGCGGGATGGGCGGAGGATGGAGGAGCCGCTGCCTCCCCGTTGGTGGCGGGGACTGACGCGCGTCTCGGGGACGCGGTGTGGCAGTGGTTTTTTGGTCCCGAGCCACTCCTTCCTTTGTGGTGCTTGTCTCGTGCCTGGTTGTCATACTGCAAGGCAGTGGTCTGCACCGGGTCATTGACTAGTGAAAGTCGTCTGGCGGCCTCATCATCGGGGGGGGGGGGGCGTGTGTGTGCACCCACAGGACAGAGAATTAATGACCCTGCTTTGTTTTCGGAGACCCAAAGGGTGTGTGTCCTGTGAACTGAGTCGATCTGGGATCAACTAAAAGGGCACACGGAAAAAGAAGTGTAAAGATAACTTCACACCTTTATTCGTCCGTCCCTGGTGCGGGGTTTTTTTGGGTTTTGTTTTTTCGGTTTTTTGTTTTGTTTTGTTTCGATTTTGTTTTTTGATTTCTTGTAAAACCAGTGGGTCTGTTCACTGAAAGTGTGAGTCTGTATTCTTATGTCGCTGTATATTTAGAACACATTGCTCTTGGGGTTGATGGTGATGTATTTATGTATCGGGGTTATGCCAACATCCAGAGCATTGCTTTCTGGCCTTAGCTGATTGATAACAGGTCTTTGTATACGTACCTATAGGGATAGTTCCATGTGTGCAGGCTCCGGTTTACCCACTCTTCTGTACAGGTGGATTGGGTTTCTTGACTTCCTGCCTTAGTAAGAGGTGGTCCAGCAGGTTCTCTCTACCTCCTTGTTTGTCTGGTCGCCCCGTAACCGCCTCCCCCCCCCCCCCATGTTTTGGCAAAGGATTTTTATTGCAGATTATTCTGGCATGCACTCTGGCTTTGATCTGAACAGCTCATCTTACATGACTACCAGAAAACAACACCTTTTTCCCCCATTGTTTTCAGCCACCCAAAGAGGGTAGGAAGCCCTGCTGGGTCCCATAGACTTTGACTTGATAGGACCGCCTGCCTGCTTGCCTGTTCACTTCACTGGTTAAAAGAGGTCGTTAAGCTAGCACCAGTCAGGCTTGGCGGCCAACGCCTTCCATCCCCTCACTTAGGAGGAAGAGACAGGAGGATCTCTGTGATTTCAAGGCAAATCTGTTCTACGTCGGAATTTCCAGGCCAGAACTGCGGACTGAGACCTTGTCTCAACAAACCAGCAAGCTACATCTTGTTTTAAGACAGATTATTTGAATCTTAAAAGATAGTTCTTACTCTAGTTGGAGAATGATATTTTGGTTTCTTTTTTACCTTCCTAATTTTGTAGAATGAAAAAGCCACATTTTAGAAATATTTTTGCTATGATCTTTTGTTTCAAAATAGTGATGGTGGAAAAAAACTGAGGAGTTTATATATGAATAATTGAGTGGGTTCAGTTTTCTTTAAAGTCCTTTTCAAGATTATTTATTTTTGAGTCGCATATATTTTCATTCCTAGTAAAATTTCAGTACAAAATGAAATGTTAACCTCCACAGCATCTGTTTATGTATAGGCTCCCTGCTTAAAACATTTGCCTTTAATTTGAAAGAAAATTTCCACTGGTTGGATGACAATCCATTATTCTTAAAGAAATTCTTGCCTTATCCATTTTTCTAAAACCATGGGTCACAACCCAATATGGGATTGCATAACTGAATGTAGGAGTCACAATAATTAGCAGCCAGAAGTTTCTGCATGTTCGGTGATCAAAAATTAATTCAAGGGGCTGGAGATGTAGTTTAGTTGATAGTGCATATTTGCTTAGCATGTGCAACACCACGCCCTGGGCTTGGTCTCTTGACTGAATTAACTAGATTTGGTTTCCCATACCTGTAATCCATCTCCCCTTGGGAGATTGGAGGCAAGAGGATCACTTTGGCTACATTAATAAGTTTGAAGCCAGCCTGGGATACAAGAGACCCTGCCAAAATGAGAATAGTAAGAATAATTTACAGTCAAACACAGAATAGCTCTGAGGTGTTCTAGCATTGCTGGTGTAGCAGTGTAGGACTTCACTGTAGCCTTGCTTCTGAGTATGCTTGGCACCTCATGTTATTATACCAACTGTGCCAGTGGACGTCGCCTGAAGTACCTATGCTATTGTCTGTTTGAATTACAGTGTTTTGTTTGTTTTCTTTTTTTCTGCACCTTGTACTCCAGAGGCAGGTGGGTCTCTGAGTTCAAGGCCACCCTGGTCTCACAGAGTTAGTTTCAGGATAGTCAGGGCTGCACAGAGAACCCTGTCTTGGAAAATGAATGAATGAATGAATGAATGAATGAATGAATCTTTAGAGAAAGAGAAAAACACTATACCTATTGTATTGTGTTTAATTTTCTTTCTTTCTTTCTTTCTTTCTTTCTTTCTTTTTTTTAAAGACAGGGTCTCACTACATAGACCTGTAACTCACTGTGTAGACCTGGATAGAATATTCAGGAGCCAGTAGCAGGCAGATTGATCTCTGAGTTCAAGGCCAACCTGGTCTACAGAGTGACTCCCAGACCAGCCAAGGATGCATAATGAGACCCTATCTCAAAAGAAAAACTGTTTGAGTAGCTAACTTTAATTTCATTTTAAAAAAAGAAACAATCATTATTTGAATTTTGGTTTAGGATTAGATTTCCAACAACTCCAGATAAGGCTCTATGTTAGTTATTTTTATCATTCCTGTGACAAAAAATGACTTCAGGAAAGGTCTGTTTTGACTGACATCTTGAGGGTGTCATGGTAAAGTCTAAGACAGAGTACCAGCCCTGGTCCCATTGTGTCTGGTGGCAAAGTGGAGAGGGGTGCATACTGATGCTTCGTTTCTTTCCAGCTTGTGAGGCTCCCGCCATTCACATTCAGGGTCTTCCCCCTTTTTTCCTTTTTCAAAATTATTATTTTATTTATGTGTATGGATGTTTTCCCTGCAAGTGTGTCTGTGTGCCAGTGTGCTTGCCTGGAGCCAGAGGAAACCAGAAGACAGCATCAGATTCTCTGAAACTAAAGTAGCAGACAGTTGCAAGCTGTCCTGTGGGTGCCGGGGATTGAACCCCAGTCCTCTGGAGGAGCAACCAATGCTTTTAACTTCTGGATTGTTTTTCTAGCCCAGTCTTAGTCTTGAGTCAAACCTTTCAGGGGCAGGGGACTTCTTAATAGACACACCCTGAGGTGTGTTTTTATGATTATTCTAAGACCCATCAAATTGAAAATCAACGTGAACCATCATAGGTCCCAAACATACTTCTTCCATTTTGTACTATATATAAAGTGACTTTTCAGCATTGACATTATAAAGTCAAAAGATCACTCACCTCTGAAAATGATGCTCTAGGTAGTATCAAAATTTAGCTACAATTTAATTTTCTATATAAAAGTCAACAAACATATTTATATCAATATACAAATTTGCCTTTTTGTCTTTAATAAGTGGTAAAATTGTATATGTCAAAGAGTTACTTTAAAACAAAACTGTCTTAAGTTCATTATCAGTAAATGTTTGATTTAATTTTAAGCCAGTTTTATATGGCCCTTCCTTCTTTCCTCCCTCCCTCCTCCTCCTCCTCCTCCTCCTCCTCCTCCTCCTCCTCCTCCTCCTTCTTCTTCTTCTTTCTCTCTCTCTCTCTCTCTCTCTCTCTCTCTCTCTCTCTCTCTCTCTCTCTCAAGACTGTAAAGGTTTAGAAGATCTCAAACAGAAACCCCTTTTCCTCTCACCAGCTCTGGAAACCTGTCTTTAAGACTCTTGTTTCCTGGTCTCAGAACCACCCTTCCCACCCCCATTCTTTGTCTCTCCCCTTCACTACTCACAGTTCCTGTATTTGTGCCCTCGCTCTTGCATCATTAACTTTACACAGGTTATGTCAGGTCACAGGCATGTTCTCATGTCCATCACATCCATCTATAAAAACAAATTTAACAAACTTTCTTTGCTTCCTGTCAATCTGTCGTGTTTACCTGATAGTTCAATGTCTCAAGTGAAATGCACATACTTTGCCTGTGTCCTTACATAAGACCTATCATTCCTAAAATACTTTAGTTTAGAATACTTATATCCCCTAAGATATATTGGTCATAAATATGACCTGTTTAGTTCTTTTCTTTCTCTCCTTCTCTTCCTCCCACTCCCCACCCCCAATTTCTTGCCCACAGGTTCTCCAGATTAGATCATGTGATAGGTTAGTAAAATGATCTGCTGTTGGCCAGGTGGTGGTGGTGCAGGCCTTTAATCCTAGCACTTAGGAGGCAGAGGCAGGGGGGATCTCTGAGTTCAAGACCTGTCTACAAAGAAAGCTCCAGGGCTATTTACACAGAGAAAATCTATCTCAAAAAAAACCAAGGATCTACAGTTGACAAATGAGCAGCTTATAGCACTTCTTAGCAGTTTGGTAAATTGATAAATTGTTTTGATCATTTGATAAAACAGTTTAATTTTGAACCAAGTACTATTTGTTTATTTGGCTCAAAGGTTCTTTCTTCATGTTACTTATTTTTATCTTATTTACTAATTTTGTTTTCCTTTTTGAAACAGTTTCATTATTGTGTAGCCCTCGCTGGCCTGAATCTTACTATGTTAGCCAGACTGGCCTCCAGCTTGACCTCCTGCTACCTCTGTCACCAGTGTGGTAAGATTATGGTTGTGTGCTAAAACTTTCAAATGCCCAGTGTGTCATCAAGCAGATTTGCTTATTTATTTTGGTTATTTAAGACAGTATTTTATGTAACTCAGACAAGCCTTGAACCTAATAACTTTGTGGCTGAAGATGACCTTGAACGCCTGATCCTCAGGGCTTTACCACAGTGCTAAGATTATAGATTAACACCCTTAGAGGCGTGTTTGTGTGTTAGATACCTGGAAAACAGATTTTTTTTTTCAGGTAGCTATAGATGTTCTATCTGCTAGCAAGGTAGCCAGGCAGATGTATGTAGCAGTTCAACTTTTGGGAGGCACATGAAGGATATAGACAGGCTGTATAAGTCCATTTGGAAGGGCTAGATCTTACTTAGACCTAAGAAATTTGTTTCTATGTGTTAAATTGTTTTTTGTTTTTGTTTAGTTTATTTTCTTATTATTTGTGTGTGTGTGTGTGTGTGTGTTAAGGAAGCTTACTTAAAACCATTTTAAAGAGAAAGCTATGGGTAATTTTTAGTTTTAGAAATTGTTTCTTGAATTAATTTGGTACTTACTCTACTCTTTCTTATCTAGATACATAATGGGAACCCTTAGAATCTGAGCATTTCAGACCTCAAAATGTAGTGCTGTGTAAATTGAGGGTTTTAAAAGAATGCCAGATGGTTGAAAAGGAATTGCGAGCACTCCAGTTAGTGCCATCCTTTGAAAGCCAGCTGGATAAACCTCTGCTCTGGAGGTAGGAACTAGACACTTTGTTCCATGCCAGCTGGCCCATGAATAGCTGGCCAGTGGCCTTATTTTGGGTCGGCCACTATTGGAAAGCTAGCCTGGGCCTTCCATCTATCCTAAGAATAGTCATGCCAAAGAGTTAGTTGCTCCAGGCCTCCCTCTATGGAGTTGAAGGCAGCCTGCAGTGTTAAGGGAAAGCAAGCCACTTAGTATTGCAAATGAACTCTGTGTTATGAATTGCTGTGGGAAAGTTTAATGCAACCTGAATTTTTATGAATTTAATGCTAAGGATAGAAAAATTGCTTGTCATTAAAAGTAAATGCTTTTCTATTGGGACTTCCTCCAATTTATCTGTTTTCATTTATTAGCATCTCTTAATAAAGTTTGCCTGCTATTTTCATTTTTATCTTATAACATTTGGATGATATGGTTAAGTAAATTTTTTTCCTCAATATAAAATTTGCTTTATAAACATCATAGGCCTCAGTAGAGGGCTAATTCTATATGTTATCTTAAAATTAGTCTCATTTTATTTGCTAATATTTTCTTAACTTGACAGATACTTGTATCAGGCAGTTCCTTAAATCCTTTAGCAAATTTAATATATTAGTTTAATTAAGAGCCAAAGAATAAGTGTGATACTGCAAGTATGAGCACACATCTCATCTGATGATGTTATCTTTCATTCTCAATATTAATAGTCTTATTCAGACTTCAGTCTTTAGTGATTGGCTAGCTTTAAAAGAATTGGTGCAAAGGAAATGATGGAAAGGGGTCAACACTTCAAACCATCTAGTTCTGAAATTGCAAGGGTGTCCTGTGGTGAATTACAGGATGTGGGGTGTGGGGGGGGGCATTCTATAAAACAAAAGTTTTATCATGTGGAGATTTATGGAATGGTATTGAGCAAAGTACCTTTGATAGAAAAAAAACTATCTCACAGTAGTATGTTGTCTTAATTATTTTTCACTTGGAGATTGAATGGTTCTATATTACTTGTTTGTTAAATTCATCTAACCAAACCAAAAAGCATTAGAAATTACCTGAATTTCTTTATTATTTTCTCTTGAATCTGAGCATGTGAAATTATACTTTGTGCCTTAAACTTAAAATAGTATCTAGTGTCTCCAGCTTGGACTGAATTGTGTACATGTCTGTAATTAAAGTTTCTTCAATCTGATGGGTGGTGATGCTGCACATCTTTAATCCCAGCACTTAGAAAGCTGAGGCAGGTGGATATCTGTGAGTTCGAAGCCAGCCTGGCCTACTTAGTGAGTTCCAGAACAGCTAAGACTACACAGAGAAATGCTATCCGGAAAAACAAAACAAAACAAAAAAGTTTCTTTGGGCTGGAGAGATGGCCCAGAAGTTAAGAGCACTAGCTGTTCTTCCAGAAGTCCTGAGTTCAGTTCCCAGCAACCATATGGTGGCTCACAACCATCCATAATGATACCTCGTACCCTCTTCTGGCCTACAGGCGTATGCAGACAGACTACTGTATACATAATAAATAAATAAATCTTTGAAAAAAGTAAGTTTCTTCAATCTTTTGATTTTTCAATTTTGTCTCTGAAAACAAGCCAAAAAGTAATATTCTTTATTGAGACAGGGTCTTACTATGTAGCTCTGGATGTCCTAGAACTCTCTTTGTAGTTGTGGACTAGAATAACCTCAAACTCAGTGCCTCCCAGGTGCTGGGATTAAGATAGGAAACTTAAGATTTGTTTTCTTTAAAGGACAAAGCAGTATCAATAGCTGCATAGAACTTTTTCATGAATTAGCCTACACTGAAAACATTGTATATCTATAGCAAAACAGCTATTATTTTCTCCTTACAACTACTCCAAAACCAGTTTAAAAAATTAAAAATCAAAGAAGTAATTTTGTTTTCTAAAAATAATTTATTTACTTTTATTTTATATGCATTGGTGTTTTGCCTGCATGTATATCTGTATGAGGGTGTCAGATCACCTGAAACTGAAGTTACAGGTAGTTATGAGCTGCCATGTGGGTGCTGAGAATTGAACCAGGGTCCTGGAAGAGCAGCCAGTGCTCTCATCCTTTAAGCTATCTCTCCAGCCCCCAAAGAAGTAATTTCTTGAGGTTAACAAGTCAGGAGCCAGGGCACAAACATCTCCATCATCCTACATCTCTCAGTTTATGCTGCCAACTCCCAGGAGAGTATTCAGATGCACTGCAGTGGATAAAAGAAGTTCAGGGTCCTTTGTGTTTAAGGGAGGTTACTCTATAACCAGCACTCATCTTGAATTCACTCTGTAGCTCAAGCCTCAACTGTGCGGCACGCTTTTTGTTAGAGTTACAGGTACAAGTTACCAGGGGTTGTAGATTCTTAAAATTATTCTTCTTATGTGTGGGGGTGCTTTTTACCTGTGTGCATATCTGTGCACCACCTACATGCAGTGCCCACAGAAGACAGAAGTAAGTTGTCATATTCCATGGTACAGTTACAGTGGTGAGCTGCCATATGGGTGCTGGGAATCAAACTCAGGCACTCTAGAAGAATAGCCAGTGCTTTTCTTTCTTTCTTTTCTTTTTTTTTTTTTTTTTTTTTTTTTTTTTTTTGCCTTGTTTTGTTTGTTGTGAATGTTGTATGTTAAGATACGATCTCAGAAAAGATGTGAAGTAATCAAGTGTAAACAAAAGGAAAAACATTCAGTTCTGAACGTAGCTGTGACTATTTTGTGGGTCTCGGTTCTCTGTTTCAGTTCCCTGCCACCATTCATTTACAGCTCAGTTCTTTGAAAGCAGGACAGTTCTGAGGTGTGGGCAGCTGCAGCCATAAAAGGATGTGTGTTTGTATTTGGAGACTCTGCCTCTTATGTGTGTGTGTGTGTGTGTGTGTGTGTGTGTGTGTGTGTGTGTGTGCTGTTAAAACTGCTTTTCTGTGTTATAGATTTTCAGTAAAAGAATTTATTTGAGGTATAAAACAATATTTACATTCTATAGTTATGTCGTTTTACTCAAGGAGAAATGGGTATTTACTATATAACTTATCCTACTTCTACACACTGAAAAACCAGTAAGGTGGATTTTAGCCTTGGGTCCCCTTTATTTTCTGCCTGAGATTAATATTCTTAGACTCATGTTATAGAATATTATTTCAAGGTGTGTTACATTTGATTATGCTCTGGAACATTTGTTTAACAATGTAAAGATGTGTTACTTTTGTTCATGCTGCATTTGTTTAACTGTGAAGCTGTGATTCTTTGTCTAAAACACCGTATGGTCTAATAAAGAGCTGAACGGCCAGTAACAAGGGAGGAGAAAGGATAGGTGGGGTTGGCAGGCAGAGAGTTTAAATAGAAGAACAATTCTGGAAGAGAAAGAAAGAAGAGAAAAAGGAGAGGAGGACGTCAGGGGTCAGCCATCTAGTCACCCAGGGAGTAAAAGTAAGATACACAGAAGAAGTAAGAAAAGGAAAAAATCCAGAGGCAGGAGGTAGATGGGATAATTTAAGGTAAGGAAAGACGGCAAGAAACAAGCCAAGCTAAAGCCAGATACTTATAAGAATCTGTGTGTGATTTATTTGGGAGGTGGGTGACAGCCCCCCCCCTAAAGAACAAGAACAGAGAACCCCAAAAAGAAAAGACTACAGACTCGACTATCTTTTTTTTTTCTTTTGTTTTGTTGTTTGAGATAGGGACTCTCCATGTAGCCTACTGGCCTGGAACTTGCTACATATACCAGGTTGGCCTCAAACTCAACAGAGCTCTGCCTGCCTCTGTCTCCTGCATGTTGGGATTGCAGGCTTGGGCCAACACACTGAGCTCAAACTTCTGTTTGCAAGGGGCTTAGGTTTTGTTAGGAAGAGCTGTAAACATCCTCAGAAGCAGTGTTGAGTGCTCCAGTATGCCATCTTGATAGTTGGAGCAGCAGTTCCCGACCTCTTTGTGGGTCAGATGAACCCTGTGACCAAAGACCACTGGAAAACCCAGATAGTTACATTACAATTCATAACAGTAGCAAAATTACAGTTACAAAGTAGCAATGAAAATAATTTTATAGTTGGGGGTGTCATCACAACGTGAGGAACTGTACTAAAGGGTTGCGGCATCAGGAAGGTTAAGAAACACTGAGTTACAGGGTTTGTCACATTTGTTTCTCCTATTTTTTTTTTCTCTTTTTGCCTTCCCTTGCTGAGATATTTTAAAGACTAGTCCAGGTCTTCTGTTTCTTTATTTAGGGCAGTTCCTCTTCTTTTTGTTTTATGTTTTGAACGCATCGCATCACACAAGCTGGGTC